TTTTAAAAAAAAATCAAAGTAAAGAGGTTTTCAACAAAAAAACAAAACGGAGTATAGCGGTCGTCCAAATTAAAAGAGGTATAGGGGTCAGGGCTTAGAATTCTTTTAACACACAACTGTCCCTTCCGTGCACGCTCATCCCTATAATGAAATTTGGATCATTCAAGTTATGAGTTGGAAGATGTAGATTTAAAATTTTTAATTTATAAATTTTTTATAATAAATTTATTTTCTAAAAAAATTTTAGTTACGAGATTATGTTTATTTTAAATTCTGTATCCATTAAAATAAAAAATTATTTAAGATATAAAAGCTATTTAAATTGAGGATGAACTATCCTAGTAAATTAAGATGAGCACTTCATGCTCATCTTTTTGATATGCATGGTTACAAAAGAGTCCTACTTACTTCTTATGTATAACCATATTAGAAAAGGATTATATCCCTAATATAGTTATAAAAAGTCTCCCATGTATATGATTGATACTGTTTGTAACAAGTAATATAATAAAATTAGATTCAACTTATTTCAAAAAAATCCTTCAATTGTAGATCCATGACCCTCAAGGCTCTCAACAGGCAATTTATAATTCAGGACATGTAAATAGTTTCAACATGGATAACATCAAAAATGCATAAAGATGTCCTAAGTGGCAAATACCAAATTAATAAACATAAACAAAGTTCAGAGCGCAATCATCAATGAAAGTAACCTCATGCCTCTGATTCCTTCCCTGCTGCAGCTACTCTGCTACTTTTACGTGAAAATAGTAAAAGTAACAAAGTGGGACTATTGTCTCACTAATGTAAACTCCTACCAACCTCACCTGCCAGCACTCTTATGAGGTGCCAGTTAGGACTAACAATTAAAACAAACTCTCAACACAATACTAATGCACAACAACTAGCAGATATTACAAAGACATAAACCAAGTATAGCCATCTAGATAAACATATGGCACTCAGTTTATGATTCATTATTACTCATTCAATTCCCGTCTTATATCCTCCTTATAACTATCAACTTGAACTCATGGGCTGAGTCCTAATGTTGTGACTAGCAACTCCCATAAGTTTCCCACACGTGTGGGGCAAACTAGCTAAAGTTGGCAAAGAACACACGAGCCATATAGATCCCTCTAGAAAAAAGGTATGTTGTCCCAATGTATTTATTGCCTCCTATCATGTCAGTATACTACCCTTGAGGTATGCTGTCCCAGGATACTCTTAGAGTGAAACAAATAAGGATGTACTACCCTCTCCAAAGGGGCCAATCATAGTTTTTGCTTTAGAGGCAAACCATGTGCTATTATGTTGTATCTTCATCATATCGCCTCCCCAAATTATTAACATTTCTTAATCCTTACATGCTTCCCAGGCACATAAGCACATATACAAAGTTTACAATGATAATCACAAGAACATGTTACATATATGATTCAATTCATACCTTACCTATATCAGGAAGATATCACCATACCATACAACAGTATTTCTTATGTATTTGATGCATAATATAAAATTTAGAATCTCATGTTAACATACAGAACACAACCAATGAATGCAACAATTTGGACCATTCGTCACGATAACCAAAGCATCTCACCATGGTGAAACTATCACGCCTTTTACTGCGGTGAACATAACCCTTTGCTATGGCAAACATGATAAGACACCCCAATTCAAGAGTCAATCTAAAAAATTCAATTCATTAGGCCTCTATCCAATACCTCAAATTCTTTTTACAAATCATCCCACCAGGCAAGTTGTAAAAATTCAAAAGACATTTTCTAGATTCTATACTCAGTTTTTCTATTTTAGGCAAATAAGAATCTACGTTACCTGGTGTACAACAAGTACTTACAAGTCATAAATTAAGACCCTGAACTGGGGTCATCAAACTGAATTTCATATCTACAAACAGAGATATACTTACTATAGTACCTTATGGGTAAGCTACATACTAAATTTCACCATAACTCTCTTTTTAAGGTTTCCAAATTGTTACTGAGTATTTTAGCTTGTATAATTTTTCTAAGGTTTGGAGTAAGAACAAATATACCATGATTTAGATTAAATTCCTAAGTTTTTTTTATAGCTTAGATTATCTTTGAGTTAGTAGATTATATCATTGGAGTCGTAAATTATAATTATTATGACTTACGTAGAAAACCTTCAATTTACCTACTTAGATCTTGGGGATTTCAGGAGGAAAGTATATTAAAGGGAGTAGAGGGGGAAGATTAGATGTTAATTTGACTTACCCAATGGTCCAAAGTTGATAGATTTTAATCTTAGGGCCTTAGGGTCAAATCCTAATAGAGCAAAACCAAGCCACTCACAAACTCCACCATTTCTAATGTGTTGTTAGGTTAAAAATTATATTTTAGATCAATTTTTAGGCTTCTCACTGTGACCAAAAAATAGTTCACCACAGCAAAAAAAAAAAAGCAAACATAGCCTAACTTCAAAAATTCATAATTACTTTCACAAGTTTTCAAAAATTACAAATTAGGACTTGTCAGAGAGCCTTAAGAAGTTTAGTTTCCAATGCAAAAAGAAGCACTCAAAAATATGTTCATTTGGTCCTGGAAAAATCCAAATTCCCAAGACTATTTAAGAAAACTATAGTTATGACAATGGGGAAAGATTTCTAAATGTTTATTCATTAATTTTACTTAATCTTAGTAAGTTTTCATTCTCAAATTCCATACTAGAATTTTCAATCTTTATCTTTAGTGTTTTTAAGCCACATTTAGATAAAATTATACTATTAAAGACTGCTCATGATCAATTAATTCATAGCCATACATGTTAAGTCCTAATATGTAAAATTTAGGATCTTACAGATGACATTGATACGGTTCAAGGGTATAAAGAATGTTGAAGCAACTTCAGTAATCCAAAAAAGATCAATCTTAAACAAGAAATGCATAATAGAGTAGGGTTAGAAGAATATTGTTTCATCTCGCTAATGGTAAATATGGGGGAAGTTACAAAAAAAATCTCCATGATTCTAGGAACTTTAATGATAGGAGACCACTGCAAAATTAGAGAATACCTCAGGCTGAGGGTACTTATGCTCATAGACAAAAAGAGGCTGTACATTTTGTGTTAGATTTTAGAAGGAAAGTTTTGGTGGGTAAAGAGAAGTTCTTGAATCAATTAACCACTTTCAACTTGTAAATGCACTAGTTTTTTCTGGCAAATTGCTTAACTTCAACTGTTATACCACTAACCACAACAATCACAGACAAGAAGTTCTTCTCTCAAACCCAAGCCTTGTTCAAAACATAACATTCCTCCTCACAATTTCATTCACCCACCACTTATCACAAAAATTCAAATGCAGACAAACGCACAACCTACCTTTATCAAAGGCAATAAACAAAGCACCTACCACAATAATAGACCCAGAAAATTAGTATTTTTTCCTCAATCTACTAACAAAATAATGGATGATTCACTCGCATAAATAGAGCTTCATTCGCTTGTCTCATTTACAAATAAACCCAATCACACAAAAACAACATTCAAGATACATAAGGAGGCTTACCTTCACCGAACTTCACTCTTCTATTTGTCTGAGGTCTCTTCTACTTTTCATTCGTCCTATCTCGATTGCCTTCCAATCAATATCTGCTTCTGCTTCTCCTTCTTCTTCCTGTTGTTCTATCGACTATCATGTACCAAAGCGTTGGCCTTCCAAGCTTCCTCCTTTATCCATGACAATGGCTACACTGGAACCACGGCCACGGTGATGATGACAGTCTCCTTTGATGGTTGAATTTGTTTGACAGTTTGTAGAGACACAGAACCACAACTGTGCCAAGAGTGAAGAGGGAATGCGACTAATATGAAAGAAGAAAAAGTGGGATCGTGTTTTCATATTTTTTAGCCATCTCATTTCCAAATTTCAGGCAATAATTTCATGGGGCATTTTAGTAAAATGGCTTCAGTAATTAATTTCAGTTTGTCCCCTGGTCCTTCAATGAAATTTTAGAATCCTTAACTGAAATTTCAGATTTTTTTAGGAGCTGTTTAAAATTAATTTTCATCTGCGGTCCTTAATCGAAATTTTCCCTTTTTATAAGTTCTTTTTGTTAGAAGGATATTTTTATGAGTTACATTTTGTACTTGTTTAAAAATTTAATTACTTTTTAAATTTTTATACCATAATTAATTACGTGTCTTTTTTATATTTTTCCATATTCATTATCTCTCATCTCTTTTCACACTCCTTTTCTTCTCAACTCAAGTTTTCCCCAAGTAAAAATATATTAAAAAAATACATTTCCTTTACATTCGTTACCGTTGAGCAATTCTAAGTATTTTTTTAATTTATTTAATTCAATTGCTTGTGATTTATACTCTTATAGTGTTATTTATAAGTTACTTCTAATGTGTTTTATTACAAAGGAAAAAAATTAAAATCTCATTAGCTATGCTTTAAATTTAATAAATATATAACTAAGGAAAAAAAAAGGGACCGAACCGGCCAGTTCAACCGGAAAACCGGTGAGCCAATCTATAGTTCGGTTTGGTTTAGCTAGTGAACCGAAGGTCTACTGAATCGATAAAAAACCGGTTTAATCGAAAAAACCGGTATTAAACAGGGTAACCCCGGTTCAATGGGTTACCCGGTTTATTTTTTTGCCTGCCAGACATCTCAAAACGACACTGTTTTGTTTTTAAAAACACAAAACCGCTTCTTCTCCTTTCCTCCAGTCGAGTTCCCTCATTTCCCTTCCTTCCCCTAATTCCTCTCAACTCGGGTAGCGCCAGCTCTTCCCTCCCTCAAACCCAAGCCAAAATCGCCTCCACTAAGATCTCTGCTCCCTGGCGTTGTTGATAGCAGAGCTCCTTGTTTGGCCGTTCCCCAACATCGCAGTCAAATTCGCATTCCCCTTCTCCTTGTCCTGCTTTGCCTTCACCACTCGTATTCATAGAAGGCAGAACCCAAAGTCAAGTCGCAGGCCTCCACCTCGCAATTGCATCCCATGTTTAAGGCTCTGAGTTCGCAAGTCTCCCTCGGTCACCACGTCCTGCTTGGCCTTCGCTACTGGCATTCACAGAAGGCAGAATCAAAACTCGAAAGTTGCAAGTCTCCCTCAAATCCCAATCAGTGTTGTCCCTTCAGTGCATTGAGTTGTGGGTAAGCTCGAAAATTTTCCTTTTCAGCTAGGTTCTGTCTTTAGGATTAGAGAGCTGCCTTTGTTCCTTCTTTCTCTCTGGTTGTCGAAAGGTTTGGGAAGAGAGGGAATGAAAATTTTCCATTTCATTTCTGAACACTTGAAGTAGGAGAGGAAAGTAATTGACGAATTTTTTCTGTTGAAATAATATAGATTTTGTTTCCTTTAGACATTGGATGAAATTGATTCTGGATATGTAAAGTATAAGCACTTAGCTTGAAATTGAAGAACATACAAATCTTTTGGTAATCAATATGATTAGTAATCTTCTGGTAATCAATATGATATTTTTAATATGGTGAATTAAATTATATTATTTTAATATGACCGGTCTAACCCCAGTCTGACCACGGTTCGACTAGTAACCCTTGACCCACTGTCTTGACAGGTTTAATGTCAGATCCGGTTTTTTGTTCCTTGTATATAACTTTATCCATATTTAACATATGTACTTTTTTTAAAAAAATAACAATATATACAATAATAAATGAAGTTAAAATAATATCTATACTTAGGTTAAGTTTTTATATTTATTATATCAAGTTTTCAGGTCAACATAGTCATGTGTTTTATTTTTGAAATATTAGTATTCAGTATCATTTAATTATAAACACATAAAAAAATATAAAACACTTAACTATATATAATTGGAGAACTTGACATAATAAATATAAGAAATTAATCTAAATATTCATATTAAAAATTTGATGATATGTTCTTTTTGTCAGGAAATTTTTTTGACATGAATTATAAATTAAAAAAAACTTCTTTTCCATCTTATAAACAAAATCAGATAAGGGAAGGGAATATATTAGTGGCATATGTTGGTTGCAGATTTAATCTGCATACTAGATGCTTTTATCGTTTCTTCTATGCCAACCGTGGCGTGAGGTCTTAAAACTTGAAAGGATCGCTACCCATGTGATGTGAACCGCCCCATCAATATTTTCACGTTTTGTCTTTATTCTTCCACGATTGCATCCACAGGATATTTGTGCAAGGCATGAAATTTGAGGGAACCAATTCCACAAATCAAATAAAATTTATATATCAAATTTATACATAATTTAGTGTTGAAAGCTCATAATTTTTAGGAACTTCATTGCAATTAATATTAAATTTGAACTTGAATTCTTTATAATAGTGAAAGTAAGACCGTGTAAAAACCTGATAATCCAGTCTAATCGGTCCTGTCTAAAGTTTGGGTTGGGTTTTTGTCCGATCTAGTTTGTCCCAAGTAGAAGTACATAATTCTTTTATTTTTAATACGAGGACTATTTAATTTTTTAGATAAATTAAATATAAAATTTTTTTCGTATAATGTTAATCCAGACTAACTTTTGTACTGGACCCTAACTTTTGTTTTTTTTTGTTGGGGGGGGGGGGGGATACACCGAACTGAGTAGCATTTATTGTGAATACTGCGGGGAGTCAAAGTCTAGCTTGAAAACCTCCCAGGCAAATTACTTCGAGCACCCCACACAAGAAAAACAAAGGGGGCCAAGCTTGCTGGGCGGCTCCCATTTCCTCCCCTCTCTTCCTCCTTCCTCCTTCCTCCCTCACCACACCACTCACTTCCAATTCTTTGCTTTCTGTCACATCACTACTCTCTCTCTCCTCTCTCTATATATATATATATCTTTACCTACTTTCCCGGAAAACACCAGAACACGAAGGAAATCTCTCCTGGTTGCTGCAGATAACAGGCCTAGAAATTTCACTGTCCGAACAACTTATTCGTCTGTGTCTCTCAATCCTCTCCAGGTACCATCATTGATCATTTATTTTCTATCTCAGTTACATATATATTTATTTTGCTGCTTCTACAATGATCTGTTATAATTCATGTCTGTGTCTGTTTGTGTGCCTTGAGCTCTCCTCTTTCTTTCTTTCTTCTTTGATGCTCTGATTGATTTGCATCTCTATGGGGAGACTAGATTTCAATCTGTGTGTGTTTTCGAGAGAGCTTATTAATAGATGTCAACTTGTTTTCTCTTCTTCTTCTCTGCAATTTTCTTACCTATCTGTTTGAGAGGAGATGAAAAAGGAAGGAGAAAGAAGTGATGAAACAAGAATAAGCGAAAAGGATAGAAAATTACTTGAGGGGCAGAATTTTTTTCTTAGGAAAAAAAGAGAATACATTTTCCGAGTAATTAATGTTAGAGAAAGAAACCCGCCTTTCGTCTTTTTCACTCAACTGCGAAAGTGAAATATTTCTTGTTAAGAGAAAGAAAATTATATTTCTTTTTTGTTACAAGAAAAATATCTAGAGAAAATTGGGACAAACCTCTCGTTAGAAATTAATTGGCAAATAGTGCCGCTTAAGGATTTTGTGTGAGTTAATTTTACTTATGTGTAATCCATCTTTCAATCATCTTTTCGTATGCGCAACTAAATCAGTTTTAATGTTTTGTACTAACTATCTTCTATTTATTTAATTTTTTATGTGTAGCCTTTTTTTTTGTGTAATTCATTATTTTAGAAACAATTTACTAATTAATTTTTTAATGAGTGTTAGTCCTAATTTTCCCAAATATCTATATAATTTTCAGAAATCACGAAAAAGACTTAATTTTTAAAATAGTTTACTCATAGTTTGCTTTAAAATTGTTTGAAAACAATTCCTCGTCATAAAATTTAATGTGTAAAGGTACTTAAGAATTTAGGTTTTAAGTGGGTTTAATACATTTTTGCCAAGTGTAATTCTTTTTCAACCGTGTTCCACATATTTTTTAGTGAATACAAATATATTTTATTTTTCATTTAGTTAAAGGTAGGTTATACATAACCAAATAAAATTTGTAATAAGATAAGATGTGCAATGATCAGGACAGGCTAGTCTTGGAGTCAACCTGTACCTGCCCATTTATTTCTTAACGAGTAAGTAATAAATGGGCTCGTCTAACCTGTGTATGGGTTAAGTAAAGACGACTTAAGCCCGTTTACTACTACTATTTTAAAAAGAAATTTCCCGGAATGTTATAAGATGACTTTGGCAAGTTTTCAAAGTCAAAACCAAAAATCATAGAAAATTTCGTAAGAAAATCACAAGAACAATCTGTGAAAATACAAAAAAGAGATTGAAGAAGAAGAAAGAGGACGATGAATGGAAACAATAGCTCAAAGTTGATAGAGAAGAAAAAGCTATCGATGGAGGAAGAAGCATCGTGAAATGCAAACCAAACATGAAAATGAGTGAGATAACTTTGCTCGATTTCTTCGAATCATAGCTAAGAACTAATGCGACAAAACCCCATAAATGCAACACGTGCCAGATCTGAATATCTTAAAGCTGCCAACAATAGCTGTTGGAGGCTTGGATTCGAAATAAGTCGTTGGTCTACCTCTAGCTTATTGTACTTTCATAATTAGGATCGGAGTGTATTTTTTGGACTAGATTAAACGGGCAAACGTTTCCTAAATCGTGGGTAGATATAATGGGCTGCAGTTTGCTTGCTCAGGCCGTACCTAAATTTTAAAATGAATTTTAGGTATTTTTTTATCAATAAATTTTGTAATGGAAGATTTTCAATAATTTCCCTAATTTTAACTGTATTTTATACGAAATTTAATATTTTGAAATTTATTTTTTATTTTTGAATAAATATAGATACAAATTATAATTAAAATATTGTAACAATTATTTGCTTTTTTTGTACTTTCTTAAAATTATAGTGCTTTTTATTTATAAATTTACACAAATATGTCAAAGAATGAAAAAAAAAATTAAATACTCAAATATTTATATCAATGAAGTCTTCAATATATAAGTTAAATCTGTATAGTTTTATCAAAGTTCACATAAATCTGTATGATAATTTTGAGAAATTATATCAGTTTATTAATTAAGTTAAATGGTCCATAAAATTTCCTCTAAATACTAATTTCTTATGTAAAGCCACCAAAAGAGTTGAATTGAGTTGCTTTAATTCCAAATTAAAAGTCCACAAACTCATCAATTAGGGAAGACCCACATGGCTAATAAATTGAATTATGTTTCCATCACATCTGTTTGGTTCTTGATTGCAAGATTAAGAAATCTTTATTTGCTTTTCATAATTTACGTGAATTTCGGTGGTCTGTCCCATCAAAATCGTTTTTTAGCTTTAAGTTTGACATGAGCGGATGCCTCTATGATGAACAGACATTTTCATTGGTCTATATTTTCAACAAAATATAATAATTAGATATTTACACAGATATCTTTTTGATTAATTTTATTTATTTTTATTATTTTACAGTGGCTGAAATATGGCTGGGACAAGAAAGATTAGAATACTTATTTTGATTTTTAATTATCTAGTAGTGTGTTTTTTTTAACATTTTTCATTTAATAAATTTTTAGAATTACAAATTTCTGCCCTTTAAGTATATTCTTGGTTCTGTCCCTGTGGATATCAAGGTGTGTTTAACTTTCATGACAACAATATCTTAAGTGATAGTTAGGGGAAAAAAATTAAACATAAGAAGTGATTTGGTTCCACTTGAGAAATTTTCGAAAGTAATACAAAATATTACTCCCTGTAGTTCTACATAGTTTTAGTTTGATTTTCTCCTCTGATATCAAATTTTTCCTTATAATATTCTTATTTATTGTGGCTATTTATTTTTACTTATTACATTTCATTTATTAAATAATGTTAAAAGTAACTTTTTCTTAATATTATTAGAAGTACCCATCAAAAGTAACTTTTTGAAAAGCATGAGTAGATTTTGTTAAAAAAACAAAAGAATAAAAGGATGAGTAGATCAATCAAATGACCTGATACCTTTAAAGTAACCACTCATCATCACAGTCAATTAAATAAAATTAAATAAAATTGCTCCCATTACGAGGCCCAAACAGTCATTACTTTTAGTTTGGTGGGTCCGACTAGATATCTACTTTATTTATACTCTCCAATAAAAATGCTCCAGTTCTCCTTTTGTGGGTCTTACAAGTTCTTTTTACATTTCTCTCTTGGATCTCAATCACCTTCTCACATCATCTTTAGCTAGACGATTCTCAGCTGCCATTTTCACACACACACACACACACACACACACTCACACAAATACAAACATATATATAAAGGAATTTATTAAACTTATAAACCACACTTTACTAGGGAAAGCATCCAATATGCAGAGCTCATAACGTAAACATAATATTCATTTCTCAGGGAAAAAAAACAATATTATATAGTTGGACTTCAATCCAATGTATCTTGAGAAAGGAAACGTGTTCTGAACACAATATGCCAGACATAAGCATATGTGGAAGGTAGAAATACATAGACAAAATCTAAAAAGTAAAGAACACATTCCTAAAATGGAGGCATACAAATACAAGAATCAACAATAGTTCAATGTAATGGGAGTCACAGCAATGATTGGGTATCATGTTGACTCACTGTCCCCTCAATGCTTATTGCCCTTCCATGTGAGCCAATGTCTCCGCAAATTTTGTTGATAGATTTGGAGAATATATATATGCATATTGTTCTTTTTATATGTGTTATGAAATTAAAGTGACCTACTTCTTATATTATAAAGTGCATTCGTGATTGGTAAATAATAATATAGTTTGTTATAAGTTTTATTTATATATTGATATTAATATTTGATTTTAAAAAAAAATCAACGATATACAATAATGTGAAAAAATATGATAATATATTATTAGTTGATACGATTTTAATAACTAAATGTGCCAATAACCCTTGAGTTTAGTGGTACCAACTCCTCTTAGAAAGAAAGGTCATAGGTTCAAATCTGTGCTTTGCATGTTAATGTGTTTGTGTGTTAATATATCTGGGTGCTCTTTATTTGATCCCTATAAAAAAAAAAAAAACTAAATGTGTGACTTGTGTTTTAATTGGAGTTTGAGATAGAGTTTACTTAATGTCAATAAGTTATGAATAATGCGATTTATATACTTACTATAATTTCATATATATTATATAGAGGGATGTTTATGTTAACAATAATAAGCAGTTATAACTCATATAGGTTTCTTACCGAGTAACAAAAATTCAATTTAATTTTTTTAAGTTTTTGAACGATCCATTTTTCATCAAGTGATAAGTATTGAATGGGGATTCGAGTTTTAAGATGTGTTGCCTTCAAAAATTAAGATGCAAAGTAAAAATAGATTTTAATTATATTTTTTAAAAATATTTATAAAAAAGAAATATAAATTAACCAAATAAAATATTAATAGTTTAATTTTTTTCAAAAAAATAATCCCAGCATGCTGCTAAACGTTAACAAGACAAAATTGAGGGGCGTATCGGATGTCCTAAATTCTATATGCCGATTTCAGACATGAGCCATGTGGTCCTTATCGATCATGGAGTCTTGAGACTTCCCTTCAATTATTGACTGGAGAGAGAACCAAGAATTTAAATTATTGAGTTCAAAAATGTTCCAACATAATGTAATGAATTAATATCCATCTATATAATTTTTCAATATTCTTGATTAAGAACGTCCAAAATAATAATTCGACCATGTGAGGTTTATATACCTGATCGAGAGCCATGAGGCCCCACATATCCTCATGATGCCCACCGTTGTTTATTTTGATCTTTATTGGATTAGATTACCCCTTTTTTTTTTTTTGCCATAGCTTCTTTCATTGTCTTTCATCATTACAATTATTACTATGATTGCTTACTTTACTTTTATATGTTGCTAAAACGAATCATCATGATTAATCACTTGATGATTCTTGCCTTCCCGTATTTAACTACCAAATTAGCCTTCTCAATATTAAACATTTT